GTTACGAGAGATGTTCGATTCCTTCCTCTATGATCCCTGCATTCTCTTTCTTTGTTGTGAAGTGGATGTGGATTTGGAGCCCAAGTCCACTGAAGGAACTGGATGAAAGAGCTACCTTCCTGGAGCTGCCTCCTTATTGTAGATCGTTAGTTCACCAATTCAAACTCAGATCAGTTGGCAAGTGGATTTGTGCCTGGGTACGAACTACAAACTAGAAATTCGATCTTGAAAGTGTATCTAAGGCGGATTAGTTGTTTATTTTCAAAAGAGAATTTGATTAGAAAATCTGCAACAGTGTGATATCAGAAAGATCCATGAGAAAGTCCCAAACTTTTCTTGGCAGTAAATAAAGCCTACTAAAAACTTTTCTTGGCAGTAAATAAAGCCTACTAACATTTCTCCTGAACCCCAAATACTCTGCAGAGAAAGTAGAATGCATGGCACAAAAATCAGATTAACCACAGTACGTGCAATTGTGTACCTGTTCTTGTGCATGCTTAAAATCATCCATGTTAAGTGGACAGATGCCTGCACTACTACGCAACGCCGGAGTTGGCCTGTTCTCTGCAACTGCCGATGCTTTCTCCTGAAATCATGCCCCAAAAATAAAGAACAATAAGTCAATAAATTTAGCAGATTAAAGTGTAAAGACTCCATAGGAGATGACGAAGACCAATTAATTTAAGACATCGCCAAAGGAAATACATCATGAAGCTAGAACAAAAAGACTTCCAAACAAAATTAGTAATAGCGCTTTTGTATGTTGTGATCCAGGTCACCAATTCAACCAAATGTTGGAAGGTCACAGAATTATAACGAAAAACTAGAATGAACTCAAGCAACTGACCTTCTTCTCTTTCTCCAAAATTTCTCTAATCGGGCAATGCGCAGCTGTCACACATAAATTCTGGGATTGGAAATTTCAGACAGCAGTAAGTACGATATCAAATGTAGATTTAAAAATAATGCAGTTATTTTGAAGGAGGTATTGCAAAAACAAATGCATTAGGAAGTGCAAGTAATCTTGATCCAGACCTTTAAATCACTCCCTGAGTACCCTTCCGTCATATTAGTAATAGCTTCTACATCTACATTTGGCGCTAATTCTTCCTTCGCCAATATCACTCTTAAAATTTTCTTTCTGTTTGGAGCATCTGGCACGTTTACCATCAACCTGTATTGATCAATCATTGGAGCACCAGTAGCCGTAAATCATTTAAAAATCAATCATTGATCAATCAGTTACACTTACGCAAATCATAAGGAAATAATTTATTCAAATTTTACCTGCACGGAAGCCTCCTAATAACTGCTTCATCAAGGTAGAAGGGTCTATTTGTTGCAGCAAGCACAAGCACTCGTTCCTTATCTTTTGTAAGCAAACCATCCCAATTTACCATGAATTCATTCCTCATTTTTCGCATAGCTTCATGCTCTCCTGGATTTTCTCGTCTTCCTAACATGCTATCCACCTAGTAGACAAGAAGAAATGGAGGAAAAAGGACAATATAAACAAAGAACGATATAAAGAAAACTTTATAACTTTTTAGGGTGTGAAAAAAGAAAACCTAGCTTTGTAATCTATATAGGAAAAAAGCTTAGCCCAGCAATAGCTGCAGAAAATGTCACCAACCTCGTCAACAAAAACAACACTAGACGCTATTTTACTAGCTAACGTGAAGACTGCTTTGACATACTTCTCTCCTTCACCGAACCACTGATAAGAAAAAGTTGTCAACCATTTTAAGAAGGGCCAGTCAGATATAAAACAACAGAAAGCAGATATCAGTGATACCTTTGACGTAATGCTTGACATTGATATGTTTATAAAGTTTGCACCAGCCTCAGTAGCA